TGTACTGAAAACAAACCAGCATTACTGGGTGCTATTGTTTGCACTGAGCACTGAACTTCAGGCTTAGTCTCTTGTTTAAAAAGCAGACCAGCAAGTGTCGTCGAGGCATAAAGACATAATAACCTCTAATTACAATTTTCTCCTTGATAGTGAGCAAAGCGAAAAAAACTAAAGGGGACCCATTTTCCACTTCAGGACTGAGCACTAGATCCATCACCACCTGTCATTACCACCTAGAAGCATTTGTGCGCCAGCAGAGGGGCGTGCCCCACACCCGAAGACGCTGCCCTACACGACTGACGCCGGAATGGGAGGTTCTTAAACCAGGCGCTATTTATTGCTAGAACCACAAGTTACGTAATTGCGTCTCCCAAAGAGCAAAACTGAATTATAAGAATTCAGCTCGCTTACGAAAAAGTTAGGTGAAAAGACCACTCATACGTAAATCATTAGGAAAATCCAGGCAAGCAATGGCGCAGACCTGAGGTGAAAGTCACCAAGACAAAATGAGGACACGTTCCAGAGACACGGGATGCGTTTTCCACTTCTGCTCTCGGATGCAGAAGTGCGGTCCCCTCTCACCCAACAGTTCTGGTGCACGGGGTTGTCTGGACCCAGGGGCCCTATGCTACTTCCAACACACGTAGCCTGGGAGACCCCCTGCCGCAGAGCCAAGCCTGCACCTGGCACGCACCCTGCCCCTCCCCAGGCCCTGCCCCACTTCTAAGCTGCTCTCCACTCACTCAAGTCCACTGGGAACCACACATGGGTCCTTGTGTCACAGGTGAGGCAGTCCCTGCTCCATCATGACTTTGGTCTGCCACACTCCATTTCTGCGGGCCAGTCCCACTGGGGCTCTGAGCTGCAATTCTGAAGGCCCCACCAGCCCCACAGGACAACTACCACTATCAGCAGTAACAAAATTAGCGACAGTGCAGTTCATATTTATATCACGCTTTACAGTATATGCAGTCACTGTATTATTGCATTCCAGCTTTATAATATCTGGAAACATGCAGAGGGCTGGCTGGAATCTGCAGGTCAAGGTCACAGAGGTCTGGCAGCCTTTGGGGGGGGGGGGCGGCCTGCCAGCTTCATTAAGAGACAGAGTTTCAGTTCCTTGGGGAGAAATCGGCAAAAGCCAGGCAGGCTCCTAGAGTCAGGGCAAGTCTGGGTCTCTGAGATTCCAAAGGGTGAATATAGTAGAAAGCCCAGAGCAGTGAGCCAAGAATGCAGAACGGGTACTTGGTCATGGAAGTAACCCAGATTTTTCAACTGGGTTAGCATTAAAATAACAAGTAAGGCTGAGTAAATCCTTACTTTTTAAGTTAAGCTTCTTGATTTCTCCTGAGGACAGAAATAACATCATCACATGAAAAAGGGCAAATGTGCTGGTAAGTTCCCGGCCAACTAGCGGAGGGAACTGGGGGCAGGAAGTCAGGCAGCTCACACCACCTCTTCCATCATTACAGTACCTTGTGTCCAAAACCCACTCGTGGTCTAATTAGGGAAGCCTCATTGAGCTCCTTCTTTTGGGAAGCCAACATGCACCAGGCTTCCTCCACATCACTCCCACTTAATTATCTCTGAGGGCCACCCAGAGCGCCCAACATCATTCTCTTGCCCTTTGCTTTGTAGAGTCTCACAGAGCTCAGTGTATGAAAGTCCATGGTGCTATTTACCTTTCCACCAGACATGTCACTGAAGTAGTTGGGTGATTCTATCAACACATTGGTCTATGAAACACATCCTTCTCTTTGACATCTAAAACACTAAATTACTTCCCTGTTTTGAAACTCCGAGTTTGCTTTATTTCTCCTTCCTTCCCGCAATGGTACATAATGATTCGACAGCAGTTATGGGAGCCATTCTCATCTTTATCTAACCCCAGGAAGCAGTGCTGAACTACAGCTTCCTCTCCTTCCCAAGTAGAGGAATTTTAAGGGATATATGAGGGGCTTTAGAGAAGATTAAATGTTCGCCTCACATATGTACCAGGTGGGCTGAACAAAACTTTGCTCCACAGACCTGTGTTCCGCAAAGTGGAGAGTACACTCAGAAAAACTCAGAGACTGCCACCCCGGAAATCCTAGGTAGCCGACATTCCAGCAGCTTCTTCCTCTGCCACTTCTTTGTTATCTATGAAGTAGAGTTTTTCACATACCTACCCGGGGAATTGTGTATTTCCCCATTAAATTGATGCTTACAATGTCTTCTGCCGTGGAGAGGGAGACCAGATAGTTCAGACTAACTCTCCCACAGAATACAGTTTAAGAGGGAAAAGAGAAAAAAATCTTAAAAAGTCAAAGAGGTAAGAAGATACCAAAAAACTAGTGGGCCAACATCTGGAGAGGCTAGGAACTCAAAAGTACACAAAGTCTTTGGAGTCCTTTGTTCCGTGGGAACATTTGCTAATCTGGGAGGGGCAGCTGAGGGGCTCAGGTGCATTTTGTCAACCTTTCAGAGATAGGGCACGGGACTCAGAGCCTGGCTCCTGCCTCTGGGGACCCTTGATAAATCATTTCTACTTTGGACTGGGTACCTGAAAGGCTGCATCTTAAGAGGAAGGGAACTGGGTCGGGGTGGGGAGTAGACTCTTACTCTGGCGTGTGACTTTACTTCAGGCAATAGAGGGTACTCAAACAGCTCAAGGCTTGGATGTGGAGGGAGAGGGTCCTGAGCTATGAGGTTAAAATGCCGCCTGGAATCTGGAAGAAGGAAATAAAATCCTCCCTGAAAGAAAGCAACAGCATCCTAAACTTCAAATCACCTCAACAAAGAAAATTACAAAATCTCCAAATTATTTGCAAAATATTTGCAAATACAGGAATGTACTTCTAAATAACCTAAGTATCAAAGAAAAAAACACAAAGAAAATTAGAAAATATTTTAAATCAAGTGACAACCAAGCTATTATGTATTAAAACATTGCTGATATAGCTAAAATAATACTTAGAGGAGAATTCACAACCATACATTTGTACATTAGAAAAGGAGGAAGACGAATGGGCTGGTGTGCATCTCGGCAAGACAGAAAAGTAACAGCAAAATGAAACAGGAAGAAAGCAAATAATAAAGAGAGGAGAAAAAGTCAGTAGAATAGAAAACAAACTTGTGATTAAGTTTCAAAGATCTATATTACACCTGGGCCATAATGAAGTTCCTTTTCTGTTTTTGTTCCAGAACCTTCCCCCACTACTAGCTATCTTACCACTGGTCTCTATTTCTTTGGAAGGGTTTAGGGGCCCTTTATTCTCTAACAAAGCAGGGCTCCTGCGGCCCCCTAAGCCAGGAAGTTAGCAGGAAGTCAGCAGGGCGGACATGTATCCAGCCTGGAGATGAAAAGGCCTCGCATCCCACAGGTCAGGAGGAACCAGCGTGAAGTCCCAGCAGGACGACTTTAGGACAAGCTGTGTTCTCTTTGGAAGAAACCGACTCCTGCTACCATCATCCCAACTGTGAGAGCTGATGGTATTTTGTAACTAACCATGTTTCCTCTGGTCTAAAATTTGTTGTCATTCACACATTGCTCAATCTTTCAAGGACTCCTCTCTCCCCTCCCTCTTCCTGATATAGTGTCTGGGTGAAGGAAAATCCACGTGGTCTTTGGAGGGATGATTCCAGCCCTCATGCTGACCCTGAATCTGTGCTGTGTCTGATAGCAGACTGGTGAAATCTGTGAGGGTTCACTGATCAAGGTCAAGGCCTGGGCATTGGCCTTTGCTAATTCCAGGCCTGGCTGTATCTGCCATTGGACCATAGCTCAGATGATTTGCCCCAGCACCTTCGATGCAGCTCACATTGTCCCACCCCCACCTGCTTTTACAAGGAGCCCTCCAGCAGGCGTCTTTCCTTATCTACCATGTCCACCTGGAGTGCACGTCACGTGGAACTTCAGGCCCCACGAATCAGGGTACAACCTAGGCCACCTGCCTCAGCACCTCTGTCAGGCCCTTCCGGGCAGGGTGGGAGCAGCGGCATGCAGACCTCGAGGATTCCACCCCCAGCCCAGCACAAAATCACCCCAACAGTGAGTCTCAAGGCTTGAGGGCTGTGTTGATAGTTACTTAACATATTCTCTTCAACCATGGCATACCTCCCAACCCTTTCCCTTGTTCCCCCTTCCCTTGTAGTTAAATGTGTCTCCTCTCCTGGGCCATGTCTGCCCACCGGGGAAATGAGCCTCAGCTTAGAATGGCTTCAGTCGGGGGGGGGGGAGCTCATTTATACAGTGGGAAATATCTCCTAAAATATGGTCCCCACTGCACCTACTCCAGGCCTGGCCAGGAATCCCAGATTCCTTCTCCCTGCCTGCCTGTTTCCAGATCAGGAAACATTCCCAAAATCTGCTTCGGAGCACCTGTCTGCAAAGAGCCAGGGCAGCACTGCCCTCTGTGCTGGTGCCTGGCAGACATTAACATTTAAATTCAACGCATGCAAACAAAATTACCTATCAATGCCACCTAAATATTTTAACTAAATTCTTTTACGTTTTAATTCCCTTCTTCTGTTTATTGGAAGGTGAACCCCTCAAATCCAGGAAGCAGGTCACCCAGTCTGTCCACGCTCCTCACCACATGATGTAACTCAGCTCACGGGGGACATCACACAGTGGCACCTGCCGGACCCTTCTCCGGAGCTGCGTCTTCATGTCTCATTCTTCCTAAGCAATTTCCTCCACAGTGAATCCCTACGTGACCCAAATATTGTCGTCACCCACACTTTCAGGAAGTGTTTTTATTTTCTGCACTTAACATCACCCTTCTGGGGTGACCTTTTGCACACACACTACAGCTCATTCATTTCAAATATTAAAGAGACTTTAAGTAGACCTAATAGGCTCATCTGGGTAATTTTCACATCTTCCCCACAACTCAGGAAAATCAGAGGAAGTTTTCATCCTTTTTTTCCTAGCGTGTCCATGGTAAGGCTGTCACTCTGTCCCATAAGCTGTTAGGGTGACAGCAGAAGGCAGCAAGGAAAGGAAGCCGAGCACTTGCCTTCAGCTCATTGGTGTCAGCCAGTTTGGCTTTGAGCTCAATGTTCGATTCTCGACACACGCTCAGCTCCTTCTGCAGCCTCTCCACCTTCTTCTGCAACCTCTGGATGGTGACAGCGGCCTCCTCCCTCTCTGCAGCCAGGGCTGTCCGCCCCCGCTTCTCCTGCTCCAGCTGGGCTATCTTCTGCCGCAGGAGGTTCACGTGCAGTTTGTTGCTCTCCAGTCTTTCCTTCTGAGTCTTGAGCTGGTTTCACACAAACAGGGGTTTCTTTTTAACAAGAATTGAACAGCCCCGGCCAGGTAGGTTAGTTGGTTAGAGCATCAGCCTGATACCCCAAGGTTGGGCATTTGACCCCTGCTCAGAGCACATGCAAGCATCAACCAAGGAATGCATAAATAAATGAACCACAAAAACTGATATTTCTCTCACCCTTCCTCTAAAATCAATAAATTTTAAACAAGATTGAACAGCTGTAAAAATAAGTGAATTACTCAGATAACATTTATCTTTATCCATAGTTCCATATAAGCCTAATATCTAAATCATCCCAAAAAAAGGGAAAAAATCCTTTTTTTTATTCCTTTTCCTGATTGCATTTTTTAATCCTCACCTGAGGACTTGCTTACTTACTTGTTTTAGAGAGAAGGGCAGGGAGGGAGAAAGAGAGGGAGAGAAACATCAGTGTGAGAGAGACATTGATCAGTTGCCTCTCATATGCACCCCAACTGGGACCAAACCCACAACATAGACATGTGCTCTGGCCAGGAATCGAACCCTCAACCCTTCAGTTTGCAGGATGATGCCCAACCATCTGAGCCACACATAACCAAGGCCTGATTGCATTTTTAGGTCGATCTTTCAAAGAATTAATTTTGTAGTGCAAAGTGCCAGATAAAAGAGCCACGGCAAATGCACAGGGAAGCAGGCTGTCAACACATGATTCCCTCCAACATGATGTGCATCTGACAAAAGTGGAAAGTCACTTTTAAAACGGCTAAAGTGGCTTGTCTAGAGCAGAATATAGCAAAGCAGAGAGGCAAAAGCCTCTCCAACACCCCATGGCGACAACTGTGCTTGCCCTGGTCTTTCCTGAAAGACAACAGGGTGCAAATCATACAAAAAACCTAGACTACTTTCAGTCCCTTAAAACCAGTGAGTAGTAGTACAGCTTATTTTAAAGGTCATATATTTTTAAAGCAAGCTATAACAAGAAAATTTTTATAAGTTTTATTTAAACATTTAAAATCTTAGAAACAGCAGGGACTTGAAGAGAGTTTGCGTTTCTCAGTGTCTCTATTACACGCCTGGCCTGCACCATCCAGAAGCCCAGTAGAGAACAAGGTTTCAAAACAGCGCCGATCATTGACAGTTCAACTTGATGAAGGACAGTATAACAGTTTTTAGAAAAAGACTGTGGATTCTAAGAGGAGGAAGAACAATCCTCATGAGCTTCCCATGCCACACTCAGTGAATGGAATATTGAGTACAGGAACCTCTTTCCTCTGTAACAAACATTAGGAACCAGAATCAAGTAGTGTGATAGAACATTAGATAGAACCTGAAGACCACCCCATTTCCCCTAATCACAGACTGTGCATTTGTAAAGTGCTCCCAGATGTGAAGGACTTACGGAAACGTGGGCTGGAGGGTCTTGCCTAACGGTGACAGTAATGCCCACACCCAGGCCCATTTGCAGCACGGCCCTTTCAATAGTTCTTCAGCTAACCTTCCTTCCTAGAGCTTCTCCATGTCGAATTCCACTCTACTGAAAATTTACACGGGGAAGCTCTGGACACTGGTAATTTTAATAATTAAGCAATACTTAAGAAGAAATGATATTAGATATTGACAAAAATTCAGTTATCTGAGGAGCGCTTCAGAAAGAACTATAGCTCCATTGGATGTCTCAGAGAGTAATGGGTTGTCTGCTTTCTCTTATAAAATATTCCTAAGGCAGAGTAAATGGAGAGGAGGTCAAATGAGTATCGTCTATGAGCCAAGACTCCTGAGTGTTGTTTATTAAAAATATACAACCTCATGAAGTAAGAATCATCCCCAAATGCGACATGAGGAGGCCAAGACAGAGAGGTATTCAACCTGCCCAAGGTTGCAGAGCTTGGTGGAGCCCAGATGCGGCTCATCACATGGCCTGCACACTATAATGCTACCACAGAATTTTCTCCAAAGAACTATTATAAGGATACATCAGTGTTTTCCTTTTTCTCTTTCCAATGCCAATAATTCTATAACTAATAATTATTTTTATCCTTGTTATTCATTCATTTATTTAGTCTAAAAGTTTCTAACTCTTCTTTTGAGTGAAAAGTAAGCTCTTTTCTTTTAACTTTCTAGTCCAGTAGAGCTGATATAGGCAGACTGCTAAATGGTCCACAATTCTCCTCTTCTATAGTAATAGAAACAGTACATTTTTTAGTTAGGCAAATGGCTAGCCAGAGTAAAGGCTACAGTTTCAAGCCTCCCTTGCAGCTAGGTTTAGCCATCAGAACACATTCTGGCCCTGGGATACAAATACAAGTTCGTGTAGCAATTTCTAGGGCACCTCCTTTAAAAGACAGCTCACGGATGCTCTTTTGCAGCCCTCTGCTGCATCCTTTCTTCTCCAGCCTCCTTCCTGGAACACAGATGAGCCTGGTTCCTTGAAAACTTTACGAGTGGAGCTGTCACAAGAGCCCTAAGCTGCCTACCTCCAGCAATGTATGTGAGAGAAGAAAAGACAAAACACTTCTACTTGTTTAAGTCACTGTTACTTTGGGTCTTTATTACCCACAGCCCAACATAACCTTGGGTGATACACTTACCGTCACTTTAGATTTGAAATAGAGAGTCTATATACATATTGTTTTAATGATGTGTCCTAGCCACATCGGTAAATATGGTGGCATTAAATTATGTTTCAATATTGAAGTTTCACAGAAATTTGTTCTCTCAACAGCAGCAAGTTTCCATCTCCCCTACCTTTCTCTGTAAATTGTAGGCCATGGTCTTGTTTTCAATGACAGCGTTGCTCTCAAGGCGTACCAGCTGTTCCGTGCGAGCTAAAACTACATCCAGACGCATGTCAAAGCCGAGTTCAGCAGCCATCTGGTTCAATTTCATTTTCTGTGAGAGCTGATCCAGAAATTTAAGATACTAAACCCAAGAGCAAAAATGAAAACAAAAACACACACGAAAAGTTAACAGGTGATCTTAGAGAATCCTTTCCTTTTCTCCCAAGTATACACATAGTTCTCATTAAACCCAGAAGGAGCCTGCCCCTCCCCCAATGGCAGTGTTTGGTAATGAATTCCTGAACCACCCTGCCAGTTCCATTCCTGCTTCTTGCCCACATCTCTTGGCTCTCCTGGTCAGTGAATGACCTTGATGTTCCATCTAATACACACGCTTCTTAATTCTGCCATATGAGAGATTTGTCATGCTCTGGACTATTTTCTCCATCCCTCTGCTCTGCAGCGTGCTGGCACCACCATGGCCCTCCTAGGCTAACCCAGCCCCCAGCATCCATTCACCCAGACCTTCCAGGGCGACTTTTCCCACCTAAGTTAACTCCGGCCTCCACAGTGAAAAAGGAGGACTTAACCAGTTGCCACAAGCTCTCCATACAAGCAAAAGTAAATGGCCTTTTAGGGGTTGTTTTTGGTTGGGGTTTTTTTCATTAAAATTCCTTAGAAAACGCCTTTAAGAGTTGTTCGTGAGTCATAAAGGAACAAGACTCCAAAATAGAGTCATAACCAGGTTCATACTTTAACAGATTACAATCATAAAACTGTCTTGGGACTTCCGCCCCTTGATTTCTAGGGCCTCCCCGGTCATGCCAGACACCGAGCCATGTTTACTAAGTACTTGCCGATGACTAAATCAACCAACGAGCTTTCTGTATCGTCATTCTGTGACATGGGTTCTGTCTGAGAGGTTTTCTTCTCACAGGGGTCACTCGGGCGATTTCACATTTCAGTATCATTTCCTGATGACTGAGGCAGTGCCCCCTCACAGCCCAGACTACCTGTATTCAGTCATCAGGATGAGATTATTTACAGGTGCCTATTTTCCAACTTTGCTAAAAAATACACATAGAAGTCATCTCTTCGCAGTGATCACAGTGTCACTTATTGTCCTGGGCTGGGAGAGCACAGGGGACTATCGGCACTTTATCCCTCTTTGAGCTGTTCGGCTCTCCCCCGGAGAGTGACCTGCGCACAGGAAAGTGAACTAACTGCTCTCGTTTATATTTTAAACAAAGCAGAGTCAGTATCTTCAGAGGGGAGGCACAAGAGCTTCTTTCACACCTTCACATGGGACCCATCCACCCCTACGAGAGGAGTGAGACAGCCCCGCACCAAGCCCCCACAAAGGAAGTGCTATTTCAAGGATCTCAACTCCACCTCAGAAAGTGTAGGGTGGCTGGCATGAATACTGTGTATTTGCTCCCTTTGAGTCACAGTTTAACACGAATGTATTGTTTTGTGTAAACCTCAATTACCTCTATTTAAACTTCAACTATGCACAGGTTTTATTTTCAGTTCCACATGCCTATTATCCTTGCAAGGATGCGGATTTCATAGGCAGCTACTGAAAATTCACCATGGACAGAGTCAGTTTATATAACTTGCTTTCATGACCGAGAATTATTTTGGTACAATCTCAATTAAAATTAGTGAGCCATTATAATGAAGGGAAGAGACACCAATATACCTAGCAATTCTTGGTTTTGGTATGTTTCTTCTATAATATAAGTATTTATTGACTCTTCCCTGAGTCCTGGAGAAGCCCAGACAGAACATTGCCCCTGGCTTCAAGAAGCCTGGAGTTGACTGGGGAAGAGGAATGAAAAATGGACACAATAAGGAGACAAGTGCTACAGCAGACTCGGGCACGTTTTGCATGAAGTGTAGAGCCGAGTCGATTAGGGAAAACTGCGAGGGAGTGATATCAGAGCTGAGTCCTCTGAAGGTGAAGGTCAGAACGGTCTCTTAGATGGAACAGCAATGTGCACCACGGGAGGCGAGGGGCCCTTTTCACTGCCTGGACAACTGTTTTCCACACCCTTCAGTGTGCGTGTGCTCAGACTCAGTGCCGGCTCACCACACAGCCTCCCGGGTTCCTGCCGCACTGTGCACCTGTCTCCCTCAGAGCACCGAGTGTCCCGATGGTCGTGTGCCCATCTGCCCGGCTCGTCCGCTGCACTGGGACTTCCCACAGACACCTTTCATGTATCGTTGCAAATCCAGCCTGCAATGCAGGCATGACGCTTCCTCGTGATTTTTTTAAGTACAGAAGAATGAAAAGGAATGAGTTCCCAGAGTACCAATTTTTCAACCTAACAGTATTTTCCATGCCAAATTCTGCACCTGCACTCCCAGTCCCATTAGTCTCTTGCTCCATTCCCTTGGGACTTCTGCGACCCACAAACGTGTACCTTCCCGTGATATCTGGGTAAGCCCGTCTTTGATCCTGTTCCTCACAGTTTCTACTCTCTCCTGTTTCTTCTTTGGTCCCTAGACATCTTCTAAGTCTCCATCCCTTCCCTACGGAGTCGCCCCACAGCCCCAGGCAAACTGGCTTCCCTTTCCCACTTACCTACTGAAACTGCCACCCGGGGCCACAGCCAACCTTCCAAGGGCACAGACCACAAGCGTCACCCCTTCTCTCCCTCGGACTGTGATGTTCAAAATCACTTAGGACACTTCACATTCTCCTGAAGAACCGGTCTTCCTAATCTGAACCATTCCAGTCTTCCCTCTGGCCATAGCCCCACCGAGAATGCCAGGTTCCAGACACATGGGTATAACCACTCTGCATTCTCTGAGTGTCTTGTGTACCTGCAGGCTTTCATGCCTTTGTGCAAACTGTTGGCCCTGCAGTATCTGCTACTTAACCTTCAAAGATGAACTCAATAGTCGTCTTCCTATAAAATTATCCCCTTTCACCAAAGTTATCACTCCTTTCACTGGGCTCCTGTTGCACTTTATTAATCAATACATCAATTATAGCATGCATAGCCTTTAGTATAGCAAATTATTTGAATGTCCGTCTCCTCCATTGAATTGAGCTATTTAAGATCAAGAATTGTGAAGTATTCATATCTTACCCTCAGAACCTTCAGAGCCTCATATATAGCAGGTATTTGATAAATAACTATTAAGTTTTATTAGATACTACTGAATTCATAAATTTAATTCAAATCAAGGAAGCTCTGAACAATAGGAAGAGACCTCAAAACAATACTCCTTCCATGAAATTGACTCGTGACTCGGAACTGAACCAATCTATCAAAGCACTGCAAAATTCAGAGCATTTTCAGGTAAAATTTGAGTGCAACAGATGTGTCCACCCAAGGACATGCACTCAGGTTATTACTTTTTGTTTCTCAAAATTCAAGTTGTCTCGCAAAACATCTCCAGACACCAGCTCCCCCTCCAGGTGTGTCAGCTGACCCTGAAGGGTCTCCAACTCGCGTTCTGCTTTCTGGGCTCTCTGCAGGGCTTTCTGGTGAAACCCAGACTCCTCTTCCAACTGTTCAACAAGCTCAGATACTTGGGCTTCAAGCTGGGAAACCATCTGGCAATAAAGAAACAAAACAAGAATAAACGTTGTTTTAAGATGCAGCAAAGTGTTAAAATCTAGCGCCCAGTGTGAGCAACACATTATTTATAACACAGACTTGCAGATTCTTTGTAAAAATCAAATAAGAAACAGGTAATTGACAGGTGTGTTTGCTCTGCCTGAAATAAATCTGCATTCATTATCTAATAAAATATTTTATGGGCATTTTTAGTTTTTTATAATTCCTTCAAAAGGTTAGTTGATAAATATTTATGGATAATGTTTATTTGCCCCTAAAACTGCCATCAATTTCAGGGTTTCGAAGCTTAGTTGGAAAAAAAAGAGTTGAGACGGGAAGTACTTTTAAACCCAGTAAAAGTATCATTCGTCTTCCACCACATATAGTGGATTCAAGATAATACAGTGAGTTAATCTTGATAAGCAACCTTGAGACGTTACTGGTGCATCCAAGTGCATAAACATACTATTGTTTCCAGCTTCCTCAGTCTCCCACTGAGTGGGTTTCTCCTTCATGACCCGTCAGTGGTGCTGCCTCTGGGCTGCACAGTTACGGCCCAATGTTATTGTTTTAGCCTCTGAAAGGTCAGACTTCTTTTGATGAGGTGATTCTGCATAGGGTCCATGGCAATGCACAAGCAGGCGGACAGCTGATCATCACCTCCTCGCTACACACAAGATCCCTGCTTCTGCACTGAAGGTCCTGAGACTCTCCCGACCCCTAACCTGCCCAGTGCTTCCCGCCTTCCCGGGAGCGGCCCTCTTTATCCCAACCTTTCCCTTTAACCAAGAACAAAAGTTCACCAAAGTCCTCAGGTACACTTAGAGAAACTCAAATTGGTCCTAGCAAATCCAGTTACCATAAAATACTGGATTCAATAAAAAAACACCAAGTTTAAGGTGATAAATAAGTTGTGGTGCTTTGTTTTGGGAAAGGAGAGGACTAAGAACAGTAGATATTCACGTAATGCTCAGTGCCATTCTGGCAGAAATTGAAATATCTTGACAGCTTCACCGTTACCGCTTCCATTTAAAACAAAACAACTTCTGCGTGCCTATGTGTAAAACACCCATGCTTAAAGGCAGGAAAACATGGAAGCTGTCCTCAAATATTTTGAAAGGATGCCAGGATTTGTTCTGAGTTAGCCTCAGAGCTTAAGTTCAAGACCAGTAGGTATAAGTCAGAAAAAGAATTCCACTTCCACATAAGAAATAATGTTTCCCTGGTCCCCATAATTACAAAGTAATACATGTCCATTGCATAAGATTCATTAAGGACAAAAAGATATATAAATCAGGAAAAAAATCCCTGTGATCCCACTGCCTAGAGGTAACAACTATTAATATTTTCAAATAATTTACTTTCTGTATTGTTTAAATATAGTTGAGATGGTATTATATTTGCCATTTTATCTTTTTGCTTTTACCTCTCATTTTAAGCATCTTTCCATGTCGGGTAGTAGATTCCAAGTTTCTGCATGGCCAGAAGTTGGCCAACCATTAGTTACAAATGTCATGGGGTGGGCCGAAGTGCAATAATCAGGAATGCTAGACTTCTTGACCTCTAACCTCTCTGATCTTGTGCTTCTATGACTCTCAAGGATCCAGGGCTATGTTTCAACAGTCAGATATTTGATGGCAGCTGCTCAGTAACTCTTCCAAGGAATTATAGTTCCCAAGGAAATTTGAAATTTCATTATAGAATACAAGGCTCTGAGAACCATCATTTCATATTCCCCACTCTTAGTATTCACTAACTAACGATAGATCTGATCTTAATGAAAGAGAATGGTTTGCTTGTCTCCTACAACATACAAAGTAACCTACAAAACAATGGCTATCAGCCTTGGCTGGTGCAGCTCAGTGGATTGAGTGTGGGCCTGTGAGCCAAAAAGGGTTGCTTAGTTTGGTTCCCAGTCAGGGCACATGCCTGGATTGCAGGCCAGGCCCCCCATAGTGAGTATGTGAGAGGCAACCACACATTGATGTTTTTTTCTCTTTCTCCTTCCCCTCTCTCTAAAAATAAATAAGTAAAATCTTTTGAAAATTGCCCATCAAATATTATCCGCAGGATATTGTCTCCTAGGGGACTGTTTAATAGACTATACGAGGTCTAGCACATTTCTTTCTGTGCAGCAGGACATGTGGTTTCACATTTAATTTCATGTAGCAAATGAGTCTTTCTACTTAAAGATCCTTCAACACTTCTCCTATCCCACTGTTGACCTGCCAAAGAGAAGAGAGACACAGAAAACTTCAACTGGAGAGATGGAGTGCTGAGTGATCACTTAGCCACAGTCAGCGCATCGCAGGCCAGAGCAAAGTCCTTTCCAGAAATCGGTCCATACAGACTCCGTTTTGAAGATGACACCTGGAGCAGCCACAAGCAGTTATCACTAAGAGTGATAATGACCCTGAAAGGAGCAGCAGACATCCTAACGTAAACCAGACTGTGGGACCAGAACTCAGGTGCCAGAGTTCTGGTTTGAAATTCCAACTCCATGACTTAGCAGTGCGTTAACCGAGGCACGTAATAACTAACCTCTCTGGGCTAATTTAGATCATTTGAATAGCACAGTATTTATACCCAGTTTAAGCTCAATACATTGCACACAGTTTTATCATCAGTACCACTACTATGGTAGATTGGTTCTACCCATTCTATGCTTTTGTCACAGAGTTAAAGGGACCTTTGGGGAAGTACCCTATGCCCTAGGCAGTTTTTCTCAAACTGCTTTCAGTCCACAGAGCCTGTTTTTCAACTAGCAGTCTTTCTGAGAAGGACGAATAAGGGACAAACATATTGAATCACAGGTAAGAGGGTCTGTCCTGAATCCTCGCCCTGTGTGAACCCACAACTATTCTACGGGACTTGAAGACCCAGCAGAGTACAGCTTTTAAAACCACCAGTATGTGGATGCATGAACCGTGCAGAACCCACCACCTGCCCTCCCAAGAGTCTGGTGCCCAGAGAGGATGGACAGCCAAGGACCACCCGATCCTCTGCACAGCAGCACAGAACTCAGCTTCGCAAGCTCATTAGGTTTCAGTGCACAGGATGCCAAGATTTTTTCTGAGCTAAATTTATATAAATGCGTAAATGAATAAATACATGACTGTTCCAATCCGGCTGTGTTCTCAGAAACAGCAAACGCCAGTGCCTGAATGAATACATGTGTCCCCCCAAACTATAAACTGGTGTCGTGTTTTTCCCACCAAGAAGTCTACAGGATCAAGAAGCATTTTCTTAGTTTTTTTCTTCTTTTCCTTAGTATCATCTGTTCACGTATCCTTGATATTCTGTGGGACAAAAAGTGTCAGGGATTTCAACACTAAAAAATGATAAGGAACCATGAGAGGGATGGAGGGATGTAATAAAGTAGATATACCTCAATTTTTTTAAATAAAAAGGCACCAAAGTAAACTACACTTCACACACAAGCAGCTTGATTTTTTGGAAGTGAAGTCATAATGCCCTAAAAGAATTAATTTCCTTCCCAAGGACAAGTAGCTGCTGATTTCTCCAAAGAGTCACTTTTGCGCTAAGATTGAAGCAAATGGAAACACAAGAGCTCTGAGCTGAAGAAAGAGCCACCCAGTCACTGAAGGACCCCGGCCTTTTGAGCATAAGGACTCTTTTCTGATTATTCAAGTTATAATTTTCACTTAAGAAATACACAAAATAAGTTTTCAGGAACCGGGTGAAACATCAATCCAATACCCCTTCCTTCCTGTCAGCGTGAGTGGCCGGCACTCTGAACTCGCTAAGCCTCCCCTCTCCACCCCCAAGCACGTCAGCTACTGTTATGGGTTGGATAGGGTCCCCCCAAAAGAGGTATGCGGAAGTTTCCCCGCACCTGAGAATGTGGCCTTATGCAGAACACAGTCTTTACAGAGATAATCCAGTTAAAAGAAGGTCGTTAGGGTGGGCCCTCATCCACTATGACTCACATCCTTATAGAAAGGGGAAGTTGGGACCCAGGGACACACACAGACAGAAGGGGAATGATGATGCGAAGATGCAGAGAGACCGCCCTCCACAGTCAAGGGGTGGCCTGAGGCCACCAGAAGCGATGGAGAGGCACAGGACACATTCACCTTCACAGCCCTCAGGAGAGCCCATCCCGGCTCACACCTTGATTTGGACTTGTCTCCAGGACTGTGAGACAATAAATTTCCATTGCTTAAGCCCCACAGTTCATGGTACTTTGTCATGGCCATCTAGGACATTAATGCATTTTAGAGACTGGGAGAGACAAAATCGCTCACTGTTCATTCTTCCCAATGCCTTTGTGGCCAGGGATGACTGTACCGTAACTGTGGACAGTGAAAGATCAGTGGAAGTCTGTTGATGCTTCTTGGTAAATGTTTGGCCTACTAGATTCAAGAATTAACAACGGAGCGGAATGACAAGCTCTGAGGAGGAGTGGGGGGTTTGTGGAGACCACCTCAGGCCCTTCAGGTCATTGGGCTGGTCTCTGTGGCCCCCACAAAGCTACCAGACTAAGAAATACTCCAGTGGAGAAAATAAAACCTTGTGTGTGCATAAAGCACGGCCACAGAGCTGAGGTCTAGGTAAGTGTTTGTGAGCTTGTATTAATTTGTCTTTAATCTAGGGCATGACATAGAAATCAGCTACGGCCATGTCCCACCCCACCCCCCATGCATTACCAATTGTCATCCAGATGATGAGCCAGTGAGGCAACAGCTCAAAGTGAGACAAAAATTGGGGCCTCAAAATTCTAAACTAAAACCTGAAAATGTTGTGACCTTCTGTCCACTGTGCAAGAAATCATTTCAAGAGTACTTGTTACGAGTGTCCTCACATTCAAGGTTAAATGACATCTAAGCACTATTTAGAATTCCTGGAAATTGACAGTAGAACATTTCCTTAAGAGAGTGGTTTTCAGCTGGGGGTGAGGGGGGTGGCAGATTTCACGCCCCGGGGACATATGGCAATGTCTGGGCACATCTCTGGTTGATACAGATGGGGAGAAAAGAAATGCTACTGGTAGCCAGTGGGTAGCAGCAGTCCGGAGATGCTGCTGACCACCCTTCAATGCACAGGTCTTCTCAAACAAATGATTACCCAGCCCTATATGTCAACAGTTCCAAAGCTGAGAAACCCAGCTCTAAGGTATAATAAAGCTTTAAAGAAATATATTAGATTTTGTTGTGAGCACAAAAGGAGTAAAATGGCTCATTGAAAAAGTGTGGGTGGTGTCCTTAATTCTACTGAGAATTGGAAGGAAATACAGAAGAGTAGAAATGAATAGCAGAGGGGTGGACAAGAAAAGCAATGATCAGTGAGTAGGAGTCGACATGAAGTGGAGAATTGGCCAGGCCCAGCCTGCACCCACCGCTGGGCACCCATGTGGGTATCACTCAATCTGTGAATGTGTGTTTAACCAAGGCAGCTGGCAGGGCTGTGCAGCCTCTTCAACAAACACGTTCATCAATCTGTAAAGCTCCCATTCTTCAGAAACATTTCTGAGACAATGCACGAAATCCATTTTCTCCTGATTTTACTTGAAGATGAGTCACACAAGATGCTAGCTATATACTTGATTTCAGGCTTTTAAATAGTGAGAGCAGCTATTGGAAAAAATTACAGGGTAGGAAAGGCAGACAAAGGCACTAAAAAGACTGAATCATTCTGATTTTTATGGGAAGTGGGGGAAGGCCATCCAGCTTAACCAATTTACACCATTTTGCTTTAGAAAATAAACATATACATCATGCTGACAATTTTATGCCATGTTTCACATGCTGGAATTAAAACAAGTTTCAGGAGAACATTGGGAAAAATAGAAGAGGGAAGGAATAAAGTGAAATGGCAAAGAGCCATTAGCTGTTGAAGTACATCTATTACCAGTCAAGGTAAATAACTTGATACAGTTTTCCTCATTTTGGTAAATAATTCCTTCCTCAGTCCAGTACCTATGTGCGTACCAAGTCACAGGAAAAACTGACTTACTCTCAGAGACCCACACATCTTACCAGGATGGACACTTCATATCCACAAAGAAAATCTTATATTAAACAAAGAAGTCACTAGGTTTGCTCCCAGAACACATGTGAATTTTGGAGAATTTTTAAAAGGGAATTTAAAATGTTATATTGCAAAAGGAAATTTACAATTGGTCCCCTGTGTTGGAGACCGCTCAGTGTGGTTTTGGAGACTGTAGCCCCAAGAGAGCAGGCCTTGAAAGAGGCCACTAGGTCTCCCTGGAAACCAGGTAATGCAGGTGGCAGACATGACCCAACACCAACACCCAGGGTTCCCCGTGGGAAGTCAGGCCTGATAAATACATCGTATCCTTTGAAGCTTGCTTTGCTTTGCATGGCTCTGTTGATATAAACTGGATGTTTAAGTTCAAGGCATAAGGAGTCAACCCCATATCTCATGAAACTCGTCCTAAAGACCGTCTGGTATCAGCACAACTCATAGACCCTGACCTGAGGCAGATCTCTGTGTTCCTTCCATTGTTATCCATAGATCATACCAGTTTTGTGTGACTATAGCCCTTTGACACTGACTGATGAGCTATGCATGCTGTACACACCTATACATACCATTCCCAATAAAAGCTGTTTGGGAGAAGGGCTCAGGGCGTTCTCCACCAGAGGGAATCGCCACTCCCTTTCCCGCCAGAACAATAAGACTGTGTCCGGGATGACTTATTCTCATCCACGGCAGCTTGGAGAGTTCTGAGGGACAGAGCTCCCCCCACAACCCTGAATTTTGAGTTAGTAATCACTCTAGGATTTTAGTAATGTCAAAAGGTAACTCATTTATTAAGTATACTAAAGCAATGAACTTACCATCCTTAAGAAGCATATAAGCGGTCATCCCTCACTCACCCTTTTCTGGCTTTCTTCCTTGCTGCCCATTTCTTGAATCTTCTCCAAAATGGCCTCCTCCGTGGACCCAGTGGTGCCCCCGCAGCCCCTAAGGAGGGCTGCTGCAATTCTCTCCCTAAACGAGGTGTACTGGCTTTGGGAGGCTGAGGCTGCCTCCAGACTGGCCTTCCAACTTTTCTCCAACTCGAGAGAGCTTGTCTTCAAGAGGCTCAGCTCCTGCTTCGAGGCATCCCAGGCCCGCTGGCCAGCAAGCAGCCTCTCTCGGAAGATTTTAACTTCCCTTTCCAGGGCTTCTTTTGCCTCTATGGCACTGAGCAAGTCCTAAAGCAATCACAGAAAGTGAAGACAAAGACATTAGCAGCCAACGAGGGATACCTACATTTGCTTTTCAAGGAATCAGGGTTAAATCCTCATTCCATTTTACAATCTAAATTTCCTGTCATCTCTTTATAAAGGCATTAAATTGTAAAAGCTATGTCAAGTCAATTCAGGTGTCTAAAAAAAAGAAGAGACATAACATCAGGACTAGGAAATAAAGAAAATTGATACGTGAGCCTTTTATATGTGCACTTCCAGAGTTAATATTGGATTAAAAACAAATTGTTGACTGACACACTTAGTAGATTCAATCCACACCTAGTACTATGTGCTCTCAAGCTGGGTGTGCAGGGAAATTGATTTTGAATGAACTTGCATTCAATAGGTCTTGCATTCAATATTCAGTGACTGGGTGGCCCCTTTTCTCATAAAGACAAATGAAAACTGATGGGACCTGAAGAAGGGAGCAGAAACGGCTAGCCACGTGGTCCTGGGAGAATTCAAGTAGAGGGAGATAAACTACCACACCGAGAATAATAATTTCAAAGAATGCAGTATGTGTTATTAGGCTCATTAATGTAACAAAGGGCATAGGGAAGGTTAGCTGTGCACCCACTTCTATTCACTTCATCTGGAATGTTCCAAAGAGACATAAAAGGGCACATTTAAAATTCATGAAGAAAAAAGAACAGTTGTTGACATCAAGTTCCAAAATACACGAGTTCACATCAAATAAGAGTGAGCAGCTGATTAAGCAGCACTGCTATAGTACTGTAGGCTACTTAACTAACAAAGATATTTTGTTTTTCATTAAAAATAGAATGTCAGTGTCAAAAACAGCCAGAAAGAAACACTATCTTTGAGTAACGGATTCTGCATCTAAACTAACCAGTAACATTTGTGTCAGGCTGCCAGTTAAAGTCCAACCATCTCTTCTGCATTAAAACTAAACTTTAAAAGAAATTTAACGTGACCAACAGCATGAAGATGGGGAAAAAATTACTTAAAATCGCTACTTCCTACTTTGTATTGTTTTAAATAAAAAGAAAATGACTCCTACTTTTTATTTTTATTTAAAAAAAACCAGAATGTCTGACTTCTTTTTTCCTTCTGGTGATTTTTTTTTAATCGAGGAAGTCTGAGGCATCAAGCTGAAATAAAAGCCGTCGAGTGCACAGGTAGTTAGAGAAGGCTGCCCTTTCCGGGGCCGTAATAATGGGACTAATTCTGGAACCTATCTTGTGAGATGGTCCTGGCAACAACTTCAAACCCCCATTCCATTGCCAAGTCTGGAAAGTCCTCTTTGCAAAGAAGCCCCACTCAAACCACAGATTAAACTTTGGCCCGTGAAGTAAAGAGTCAAGGGCCCTTTTTCCCAAATACAACATTTGAGCGCTTTACAGATTTCTTTTCATGCAGTGACACAGTAGCTGCTCCATTACAGTCACCAGTGTCAGCACTGGTGGTGACAAAGGAGGCCCATATTTCACTTGGACACTATAATCCTAATGTGTGGTTAGAAAATTGACATCCTAAATTCGATGATGCAGGGGGAAAATTAATTCTAATCCCCTGAGCTCTAAAACCTTATAGAATACTATGTATTAATTTTTGTACTGAAAGAACACCCCTGATGCAAAATAGGAGAGTTTCCATGCCAATAAAGTGATATGTTTACCAAGTATTTACAAAAGGTTCTAAAGAATACACACAAAAATACTGCAGACACATGAGTACTATGCACTTACTATCAGCTGGCAGTAAACCAACCAACTGGCAGTTACACCAGGTGACCAATAAACACCGCTACAGTATTTCAGCTACAAGGAAATTTTCACCCCAACCTCAGGCTGCTGTCTCACTGCCTTAGAGACCACGGCCAAAACAGCCCCCTAACAAATCCACAGCACCACCGCATGTCCGGTGAAGATCAGGAAATCCATCTGTGATCACAGACTACAGTAGCACATGGCTGCAGGCCAGATTTATCTTCCAGACACGTCTTAGCCTGGTGAACTATTTGGTTTCTCCTAGGAAATGCAGACCTGTGGAGCCAGGGACCAGGCCTTGGGGACAGCCGCTCTCCAGAGCTCTGATTAAGCTCTTCAGAACGCAGGGCCACCAGGCTGACCTGCTGGACACAGATGGCCCCAGACTGCAGATGCAATTAGCTGTAGAGCTCTCAGGAGGAAGCAGCCAGCGCGGAGTCTGGTTGCATGGCTACCTCAAGGATACACTGAAGTAACGTGACCTGGGTGTCGCTGGCCAGGGCCTGGAGACTGCTGTCAGACCACGCTGACACGCAGAAGAGAAGCAAGTCTCTCCCTTGTGGCGAAATCACGGCTGACGTCCCCAGAGGAAATCACGTTTGCCAACGAGGGCAGGCGCTGCAGAGGCGGGAACTGGGATCCCTTCACTAAGATGTTTTTAAATTAATGAATCTTGAGATCCAGTCCTACTAATACAACAAACAAATAACGGTCCTTTTGCAATTACTCTTAACAAAGACAGCTGTAAATAATACAATTTAGGAATTCAATTTAGTTTCTTAATGAAGTGAATGCCTGAATTAACTCCCAATTAAACGCATTAAGTGATGAAACCATTGAAAGGTTTGTGGGGGAGGTTATTTGATTTTGTATCCAATTTTTTTTCTATTAACATTTATCCCCTTATCTCCTCTTCTACCCCCTTCTCCACCTGCAACCACCACGCTATTGTCCGTGTCCACGAGTCCTTCCAAAGTTTTGTGTTTTTAAAGCATAGTTCACTCCTATTATAATGTTCCTAACATTGTATTATATGGATTTGGATATGCCTGAGGTCAAATTGCCTCTCAAAAATAGAATGAGTAATCGTCAGGGTGAAAAATCTCCAGCTCTAGCTCACTTCACCCAACCCCAGACGAATTTTGTGGAAGTAAAAACCAGTTGGCTATTTCTGCGTACTGCAGTGAAGATGAACAAATAAACTCAGAAATTTCCCCAAACAGGCGCATCATACATTGCTGGCAGAGGGGTGAATAGGTAAAATGGGTACATAACCCACGAAAATTCATAACAAAATTTAATATGCACATTTCCTGCTGCCCTGCAATTCCAGTCCTAAAAATATACGAGTAGATTCCTGAATATGGAAAATAAGGTGTGTGCAAGGCTATTCAATTACAATATAGCAGAGGATTAGGTACTACATAAATACCCATTGATATTGGTGTGACTGGTTGAACAGATAGGAGACGTCCATCCCACAGAACATTATGTAAAGACTGAGGAAGCTTTTTATACACCATAGGAAAAGCTCTCCAAGACACAGTAAAGAAAGTCAGGTGCCTAACGATGTGCCTGGTACCATCTGTACCTGCATAACAAGAGACTCCCTCCACAGTCTGCACAGGCAACAGCCAACTCTCATCATCTCTGGAGAGGGGGACTACAGCCGGTGGGAAGAAGTGGGAGGAAAATGTGCCAGAATAGTGGCAACACCCAGGGAATCTCAGACCATTTAAACTTCCGTTACTAATGATATGAACACACACACACACACACACACTGAACTTCGCCTGCATTAGCAGTAAAGAATCTGGAATAAGGGAGGTGATGTCCTCCTATTTCTATTTCCCGGTTTCCATTTCCCTTGAACAAAACCAAACCTGAAGTTTGCACTTGGCACTGCGATACAAATTTCAAGGGAGCTACAGCCCTCCTAGAGCAGTGCTATTCAAAATGTGAGTAACACCCCAGTGTGCCTCTTACAACTGTGTGTTCCCCATCCCAACAAGATAACATCAGAAATTAAGGGCAAGAGTTCAGTAATTCCTATAGCAACTCGATGCTGATTTTTTTGTTTACTGTACCAACTCAGTTAGTAACTTTACTATTATATAACAGTATAAGGCTTACTCATCACTTAGGTGAAAGGCAAGTAGCTCAGATCTACTTCCAGGTCTTGTCAGGAAACCTTCTGTGGATGAGAGCACCGACATCAATGCTGAGCAGGTACAGACCCCCCCAAGTTTTGCAGAACTGATAGGTAAACGGCACGTGCATGAGCTGTGTATCTGTTGTACAAACAAGAACATGTATCATGTGTGAGAGTTTAAGGTTCTTTAGCCACCTATTATCCAAAAGTAAAAAGTATGTCAAACCCAGACCATTTCTTTCATCAAAAAAATTTAAATTTCCATCAAAAGATCATTTAAATCTAACTGTACCTTTACACAATACACTGATAGAATTGTCTACAGATGAATAATTAAAGATGGATTTTGAAGAAACACATGCTTTATTTTGGATACAAGTTACAGATAGATATATTGAGCCTGCTGAAATTGCTTTTAAAAACCTCTCCCAGCGTCAACAATCCTTTGAGACTCATCTTCCGCTGTAAGTGCTTTAAAAGCAAAACAGAGAAACTGGTTAACACACACCAACCCCTGCAAGCAGCATCGCCATCAATGCAGCCAAGACGACAAAGGTTCACAAGCAAGGAGCTGGCTCGTTGTGACAAGGAGACTTTCATTCAACGTGGGTGTGCAGGACGGGAACACAAGGGATTCCAGTCCTCACTTTCGGCTCAGCCACAGTTGCAGTGACAACCAGCTATCAGCACAGCTGATGAATGCTCAGCATCAACCCTGCACACACCCTTTCCAAGAAGAACGTGCACACTCTATGTGATTCTTTCCCTGTGCTTATTCTGATTATGTTTATCAAAATGGCATCTTACGTCTGTGGCTTCTGACTCTTAATATGTAGACTTGGGCCTTTTTGTGTCTTCTTAAACAATTTTTTCTATGAATTCATCTGCTTGATTTCTTTATGAAACTATTGGTCAGCAACAGGCTGGAAATAAAGAAAAAGTGCTCCTTCCCTCAGACAGTTTGAGAAAAGCTGTACTGGAGAACAATTTGAGTTTAGAAAGGAGGACGGTGAAAGTCTTAAAACCCTGTTCCAAGAGCACAGGGTAAGAGAACCGAAATGTGTATCCCACAGCCATTTTAG